TGTGAATTTGGTAGGGTCCTATTTATAGCCCTATCTCAGGATGAAATAGTCAAGAGAAATGTACAGTACTTGTCTCATTTTACTACAGAAAGCAGCTCAGTTTCACGGGCCATTTATGGAGGTGCTGCCCAGCATTGGAGCCCCCGGAAAGTTACCTTCTGAGAAATGTGATAGGTTGAATTCTTGGGAACGAAATGTGCTCTTGATGACCAAAACCAAGTGTCATACAGAGCTTTTTCCTCAGGGTTGAGATCAGGTGTATCCTTATTAAATGTCCCTAACTGATGAACAAATTCCAGAAATGTTATGGTGCCACAAGCACAACTTTTCTCATTTACCTATTTTAATTAATAAAAAGTGCTAATAAAATCCATCTCTTAGCACATGTTCAGTAACTAAACCACACCTTACAAATCACTCCAGCACATGAGGGAGGGAAGAAGGACATAGGGATTAGCCAGAAATTAGATAAAAGCAAGAAGAACTATGGGATTAGAGGTGAGGAGGCCTTGTAGACATGGGGGACTGGTGCAGGGAAAGAGACAGCTGGGCTGGGAGGTGTCCGCATGTCAGACATTATTTATATGTGCAACTTATGAACTGGCCACTCTGCCATTCATGATCAGAGAGACAGTGGTGCTGGAACAATTTTTATAGTGGTGGTGCTGAAGGAGGAAACCATGTATTTGGGTTGTTATTAGTATTTCAAGCCAGGGGGTGTAGCAGCACCCCCAGCAACCTAGTTCCAGCACCAATGCAGAAGGATAGTCTTTGAGGCAGCCAGGACCCAAATCACGTAGAGTGCTATAGGTCAAAGTAGCCAGCTTCAGTTATACCCAGAAGTGAATCAGAAGCCAGTACAGATCACAGAGCTTGGGAGTCATGTGTCCCCTGCAGGACACCACATGAAGCCAGCGGCATTCTGCACCAGGTGCCAGCTGAAGTTTCCATGTGGTCTTCAGACAGAGCTCATTGCAGTATTCCAGCTGGGAGGTGACAAAGGCCTGCACCTCTCTGGGGAAGACAACATGTGAGAGAAAAGGTCACGACCTTCTAACCAGATGTGAATGAAAAAAAGATTTTAGGCTACAGCTGCTACTTGATTTTCCAAAATGAGGTGAGTATTCAACAGAACCCCAAATAAACACCTTACCTACAGAAAACACAAGCAACTCTTCTCCACCAATGGGACAGATTCAACTGTTTTCTCTTAATATTTACCCCAGTCCCTAGCATCACTTCTGTCTTCTCTGGGCTGAGCCTTAGCCAGCTGGGCCTATCCAGACCCCAGTCTCAGCTAGGCACTGAGAGAAACAAGAGACCTACTGGTCTGATTAAAAAGAAATGTCATGATGAGTTCCAGACACATACTGATGGTGTCATCATTGTCGTGGAAATTCCTGTCCGTTCCAGCTGAGGAATAAGGAGAGACGGACACAACTAATCAAGCAAGGAGCCCCGGGAGGGGCGATCCATTTATTTCAATTGCAATTGGGTTCGAGCTCATAAGTCAGCAAGAACCCCGAAAACACTTACACCAAAGCATTATATGCAGTTGACTATAATAATCTATCGCTCCATATTTGGCCAAAATTTGCTATCATTACCATACATAGTTAGCAAGCTACATATATCCGCCTCTCTTGTGACCCCTTATTGTTCATCTACTTGCCCCCCCCCTTGCGTTATTTGCAAACCAAGCAGTTAGTTATCTACAGGACGCAGGCACAGAAAGTTCCACTGTCTGCAGGTTTGGAGTTTGGTTACATTTCCTCTCGAAGGAACTTCCTGAGTTAAGACTATCCATAGCTGACGCTGCATAGTGCCCTTCTTCTTTCTCCCATGTGTATGACAAATTTGCCCTCTGGCAGTTAAGTAGAATAATTTTATTTCATCATCAAAACTATTTCACAGTCTCTTTTCATGGCCTCATGCTGGACAGAAGGAGTGACAGGATGGAGCCTGGTGGTGGCCCATAGAGAACTTCTAGAGAGCAGAAGCAACCAACACAAACCTGTGCTGTCTTAGAGACGAAAGAATGGAGTCACTCCACTCAGGACCCACAGACCTTGTGATCCATGGTATCAAATGCAGCTGATAGAATGAAAAAAATCAGCCTGGATGGACATTTGCACTCCAGTTGAGTTCATTGGGGTCAGAATGTCACCTTTGATCTTTGTTCATTACCAGGAACAGGTCATCAGCCAAGGAGACCAGAGTTGTCTGAAACAAGAGCCAGGCAGTTGTTCAGAAAAACGGAGAATTCCAGATAATGCCACAGTTATTTCCCCACATATTGAAGTGCAGAACTGGGAGTCAGTAGATATGAGTTGTATCCCTGGCTTTGCCACCGATTCACTGTGTGGCCTTGGGCAAGTCCTTAAACCTCCTTATACCTTATTTTCCACATCTGTAAAACAGGGATAATACTCCCCTACATTCTATTTTTTATAGGTTCTGCTACCGCATTCATCACTGCAGTCTCTGAGCGTCTTCCAGTAGTGCATGCAGTAACATGATAAACATCTGTCATATATATGTTGTTCTCTCATATGTGTTTATGTTAGAGGAGGTAAGGTCAAACGCACCTTGGAGCAGAAGTTGGTGAGATTTGCTGTGATAGTTCCTAGGGCAGTTAATTCTGCAGTGTTGGGAGCCCCGCCCCGTCCACCCTCCACCAAAATCTCTGCCTCTTGCATCACAGCAGGCTGTGTGGGAATAAATGCATTAACGCATGAGAGGTGCTCAGGTCCTATGTTGGGGGCCAAAAAATGCCTATGAATTCACCACCTAGCACAATGGGGTCCGATAGCATATCTGAGACAATGAGGTGCTATGGTCACCAGCATAATAATAATGAATCCTCATTATGATTTCTCATGAATCTTCCCCAAAAATAGGAGAGAGATGGTGATAACTGATGCAATGATCAGCTTCAAGAGCAGGGGCCTAACTATCCCTTTTTAAGAAGCCTACAAACACTAAAGATGGAGTAAGAGAAAGAGAGAGAGAGAGAGAGAGAGAGAGAGAGAGAGGGGGAGAGTTACTGTCATCCTGCCCTTCCTCCCCCAGTGGGGCATTGACAGTTTCTATCA